ATTGAAAATATGAAATAAAAATATGAAAATTTTAGGCAAAGAAATTAATACTTTTTTCTTCATAGCCTTTTATTTATTTATTTTTTAGTTCAACTGATGATTTCATACCTAAATTATTTCAGGTAATATTTTTTTTTATTCAGACAAATGTCACATATATTTGTGTTTTTGCATATGTTTTATTAAATTATATATATATACTATATACACATACATATAATATTATGCATTGAAAAAATTGAAAGTTTTACGCAAATAAAAAATAATAGTACTTTTATTTCTACATAGCCTCTTTCATTTTTAGTTCAACTGATGAGTTCATATTTGTATGTTATATTTATTATATATTTTCTATATTGTATTTTTATTTTCTTCATGGAATAAATGAATGAATGAATAAATGAATATTAACACACACACACACACACAAATCAGTAGTACTTAAATAAATATATACCACCATGACATATATATATATATATATCTATATTCTTGCATAAATGCATATAACAAAATTATTAAATTAAAGTGAAGGCCCTTGACGTTGCTCACTGTCGCCTTAAATCATGCATGAACGTGATAATTATCCAGGCAAGGCTAAGAGGGGCCCATCACGACTGCTTTAAATCCAATAAACGTCCTGACCCGATCATTAGAATTGACCATCTATCAGGACCATCGAGTTGCACATTGTCGTTAGCCGCGGCTTATAGCGGGAGAGAGTGGCCAATATTTTCAGTCAGCGAGCCGCAAGAGGCATATATAGTTTTGGCTTTAACTTCACAAGATTCTTCAGGTTGGAGATAATAATGATGCTGAACACATTTTAAAAGTCTTCAGCTTGAAATAAGAAGGTACTCTGTTGGTGCTCTTATGGTTTCAGGTGACAGCAGCTTGGCAGAATGTCTTTGTTCACAGGGAAGATGGCTTGACTACAGGCGGTTTTTAGTTCTCTCTCGATGTGAACAATCTCAGTCGTGATCATTTTGGAAATGAAACAGAGAAGTGAAATTTTTTTAGTCAAATCGACAGGTTGTGAAATGTGCCACTTTATTACGTAATAGTGTGGCTGAACTCTGCCTCCGCAGAAGAAGATCAACGCCTGCTTCTACATCACTGCTTGTTTAGCTCCGCCCACCGATTCGCACGTGTAGTAGGTACATGACGAGAGCGGCTAACACAGGTCTACGCAGAAACCAAACGATAAAGATGGCTCCGAGGACAACAAGGTGCTGTTCAGTGCCAAGCTGTTGAAAAGCACAGTCTTTGCATTGTCTTCCTTCTGATCCCAACATTTGGAAAGAGTGGATTAACTTTCTTTTTATTGAAGTTCCAGACCACGTCAATAAGAACATGGTCCTTTGTTCACTTAATTTTACAGCGGATTCCTTTACAAACAAGGCACAATTTGACACAGGATTTTCAGAAAGACTGAAACTAAAAGACGGTGCTGTGCCGACTTTATTGGATCCGACAGTAATATTGCACCACAAAAGTGTGAGTAACTGTTTTTATTACGTAGTCACTATTGCTTTGTCTGTTATTACAAATAATTTGATATGTACTGAGTATTTATGCGTTTTTAACTTAAACCACAGCAGCGTCCATCTATGAAGGATGTACAGTAGGCTGTCAAACAAACACAACTGTTAGCCAATCATAGCAGTGGGCGTTTACTTCCGAGTCTACAATCCGCCACACATATTCAAACAGAGTGTTCCGATGAGAGGGTCAAAACAGGACAGACAATAGCCTATAACTTCTAAATTATGATTTTTTTTTAATGTAAAAATCTTGCTAGCATTATAAGTGGACCTCAGAGAACAGTACAAAATAATAAAAATGCAGTTCATGACCCCTTTAATTGAATTTTTAGATGTTTAAAATCATTTATTATGTGGTCACTATTGCTTTGTCTGTTATTACAGATCGTATACTGAGTATTTAACCTAAGTCACAGCAGCGTCCATCTGTGAAGGCTGTAGGCTGTCAAACAAACACAACTGTTAGCCAATCATAGCAGTGGGCGTTTACTTCCGAGTCTACAATCCGCCACACATATTCAAACAGAGTGTTCCGATGAGAGGGTCAAAACAGGACAGACAATAGCCTATAACTTCTAAATTATGATTTTTTTTTAATGTAAAAATCTTGCTAGCATTATAAGTGGACCTCAGAGAACAGTACAAAATAATAAAAATGCAGTTCATGACCCCTTTAATTGAATTTTTAGATGTTTAAAATCATGCACACTGTCAAACACAATCATGTAGCTATTATTTTACATAGAGAGGGTCACTTCAAAGGGAAGAAGCAAGTTGAAATCATATGACCAGCTGAATACTAGCTTTATCTAAATAATAAAAATAAAATGGATAGCTATCTAAAATAAAAATAAAAAATAAATAAAAAATACAGGACCAACTTATTTGCATACAGAACACAAAAGACCTGACTGAATATAGACTTCAGAATTGCATCTTTTGATCTAAAACATGTTCCAGGTTCAGAAGTCAAACTTAATAGGAAATCATTACCTCAAACAACAAAAATGTCACGTTAAAGACTATAACAGCTAACCTGTTGATCGAAAAGTAGCTAGCACTTGAATGAACCCTGCCGAATGTCCAGCAATTCGTCTCTGGTGAAACTGATTGCAGGGATATAACTAAAGACAGGACAAACTAACAAAAACATAAAAACAACTGCGGAGCAAGCCACGGAGGCAGCCATCACCGTCGGCGCCATCGTTAGAATTAGAATATGTAGTTTTCCAGGACCACATGCAACCTAGACCTCAATAGACCACCTAATTAACTCCACCAATTAGAATTCTGAAGGCTGGAAGGCTGAACATACAAACAAACTGTGATTTCCATAATGATTCCTTCAAAAATGGAGGCTGGCATTCTGTGTTAACAATCCTGCGGGTCTGGCTTTTGCCTTGCTGGTTGGCACCCCCAGGCCTCACAATGCAAACAACAACAGAAAACAACAGGAACAGCTGCAAGAACAACAACAACAACAAAGACGTGTCCCCATTTACCCTACAGCTGGATTTGCGAGCTTGCTGCTTCAACGCCATTAGCATCGGATCCAAATAATTATTTTTTTACATTTGCGGGTGACAATATTCTACACAGTGTTGGCTCTCATTAAGCAGAGGCCGAGAAGCAGGCCGATATTTGTGAGGAGGATGAGTAGGGCCACCAAACTGGCTGCCGTCACACTGCGAGTTCCCCTGCCAGCACAAGCTGTCTGACCTTGGTTTATTGGCTCTCCATTGGGTTTGTGGTCACATTAGATACACCACCGTTCTGCCGCAAACACCCAGAGGAATTCATGGCACACGATGGGATTCTGCACACAATCCGGCTTTCATTTCACGCGAGGGCATAAATCCCTGTATGTCTCAGCCTCTTTTTCTTCATAATCACATAATAAAAGCTATGGAATCATACACAGGCAAAACTTGTTTCATTATGTGACTTTCTTTTTATTGATCACCAGAATGTGAAACTCTTAACCTCATTTACTTTGGCCGTGTGGTTCATCTCAAATTATCATCCACATATGCGACTCAACCAGATGTCAGATGGGCTTCATTTAGCTCATATAGGTCAAGCCGTAGTGGAATGAGAGATTCCAAGTGAGGAAAAGAGTCAGGTAGGAACAGTGTGAAATAGGAAACAATGGCCACGCCGTGTCTGGGACTTCAGATAGAAGCTTTTAGATTGTGAAAATCCACATCTCTCCATTTCTATTTACTTCTTCTCTCCTCTCTTCCTTAGAAACACTTAGGCAGCACACTATTCTTCTCCAGGCTTTGAGCATTGTTCACGTTCTTTCTGCCTAATGCTTGAAAGCACCCCATTTTTCACTCGGCCACTTCCTCGTGGGACCCCAGCCCAGAGAGCAGCATGCAGAGGATATGTTTTATTGGACTGTTGCTGACAAATAAATCTAAATATGTATTTTGGTCATGTTTGCAGGCAGGCGGTGTCCTTAGGGCGTAGAGGTGGGTGATTATCTGCCATAAATAAAAGTAGCAGGTCATTCACATGTGCATACTCTTAAAAGCAAAGAGTAAGACTGGGATAGAGAGATTTAAAGAGAGAATATTCCATTTGTTTATTCAAAATCTAAAAGTGTGTACTTTGCTATATGAGCGGTATTGCAGGTAATTTAAAGAAACAGTTTTTCTCAAAGTAAAAATTCTGTCATCATTTACTTAGCCACATGATGTTTCAAATTCATATAGAACACAAAAAGAGATATTTCACTGAATGTCTTTTTTTTTTTATTTTTTTTAAGTAAATGGAGACTGGGGCTGTCAAGTATTATTACACATAAAAACAAACATCTACATTACAAAAAAGCATCCATAAAAGCAGTCCAAATGACTCGGGTGTTTTATGCTTCAAACCATCTAATGCCATAGAGTACCATTCGTGTGATAAATACACCAAAATCTGATCATCTTCCTCTCTTTTACTTTTAAATGAAATTTCTGTTTGTGTACATTCAAAAATTGGTCAGTGATATTGACACGTTGTGCTGCTGCAGGAAGAACGTAGGAGACACGGAGTCGAATTCACAGTCTTTAATGTCGAAAACACAGGATAATCCACAATAGGAGTTGGGCAAACACACGTAGAAACAAGTAGAACCCCTCCCGGAAGGTGTGTCCTTGCACTGTATGCAACAACAGAGGGAGGCACAGGTGGGAGCTTGGGAGGAGGCTCAGGAGGAGGATGGACAACCGGAGAGGGGGCCGGCAGATAGAGACCAGGGAGGCGACGAAGGAGGGAGGAGCCAGGAGGGGCCCGGAGCAGGAGGGGCCCGGAGCAGGAGGAGCCCAGCTGGACCCAGGCCACAGCCATGATGGCGACCCACGGTGGAGCCGACGGAGGGAGGAGCCATGGAGGAGGAATGGCCACCGACTCCAGGGGGCCGACCAACTGTGGCGGAGCCTGAGGCGGAGACGGAGAGCCAACGAGCCAGGGGGATGCCGAGGATCCGGGGGGCCAGGGTGGAGCCGAGGGCTTTGGCGACCAAGGCGGAGATCCGCGGCAGAGTCGGAGCGACTGAGGACCAAGGTGGAGCTGGTGGGAGCTCGTGACGGGCATAGTCGCCGGCTCTCGCACCTGGTCTGACGGATTCAGCTCTACGTCCGGGGCGATCCTCTGCTCAGTCGCTCGTCTTTGCGCTGGCTCGCTGATCGCGGCGGGAAATGGCTCTCCGTCAACGGTGGGCTCGGGCTGATGCTCCACATCGCGGGGAGATGGTGAGCTGGGCTCTGGGTCGGGAGTGGTACTGGCGAGATTCTCCTCGGAACTGACGGTGAGCGGGGATCCGTTTCTCCACAAAGGTGGTGAAATCAGATCGAGGACCATCTTCGGACGACGGCGCGCCATGTTCGCACGACTGCACTCGATGTTTAGACTGGCATCGTAGAACGCACAGAGCGCGTCGTCGGTGTAGCTGGTGGTGCCTGCTAGCAGCTGGAGCCGTCTTGTATGGTCCTCGAGCGATCTCTCCCCCTGCTCCAGCAGGAGGAGGAGATATTCCGGGTGAAGGAGGGCATCCATGAGGAAGAAACACAACGGAAACAAAAACACTGAGAGAAAACAAACGGAGGGGAAAACACGGAGGTAACTGTTTTTGCTCGGTTCTTCTGTCACGTTACACTGCTGCGGGAAGAACGTAGGAGACACAGAGTAGAATTCACAGTCTTTAATGACGAAAACACAGGATAATCCACAATAGGAGCTGGGCAAATACACGTAGAAACAAGTAGAACCGACAAATACAAATTGAACAGACTGAGGCTTATAAGGACTGGATAACGAGGGACAGACAGGGAATCAATTTATAATCAAACTAAACAAGGACAGGAACAAGACCAAATAAGGCAAAACAGGAACTGAAACACATGACAAAACAGGTCCAATCCTGACAGGTATCAAATATCATTGGTTCTTGCATTTTTTATCATAATTATGAGACATGCTATAAAATGAGAAAGTCACATTACGAGATATTTAAAGTCAATAAGAATAAATACTGTTGCAATTGTGAGATATTAAGTCACATTGTGT